AAAAACCTTGAATTTTAACAAGGGTTTTTAAGAAACCCAGTAACCTAGTAGTCATAGATGCATAATCACAATAACTTTGTATTATAGTTTAATACAAGAAGATTATAATATGATATATAAAATATGTATCTTTGACAATAAACCAAATTGATAATAACTGTATATTGTATCTCTTTAATTCTATATCTAACAACTTTTATTTCCACATATGCCACGTTTTAAAAAAGCAAGAGCTACCAGTCAAGAGGTTGGCCATTTGGATGGTAGACCCCATAAGATACTTTCAGCAAGCGAGATTCCAGATAAAGCGACACTTGTGGAGGAAGATCCGACCAGGAGCCAAGCAGTAAGTGTATCAGAAGAAGCTATTGAACCAGTCTCAGGTATAGTGTACAAGTAATTCAATAATTTAATAGAGGTAATTGCTAAGAAGTAGAATAGAAATTGAATCGGGTTTAGTAGTACAAAAAACACATTCTCGACAAACGCTATAGAAGCAACAAAAGTAATTGGAGATAGCTACTACATTAAATAGTAGAGAAGAGGTGGATTTCATTCAGGAAGATATGTTACCAATATTTGATATAAATAAGCTTGAATAAGAAGAGAGTATAATAGTGCTTACATTAATATTGGCAGAGGAGGGTGAGCATGGGTTTCAGTCAGAACTCCAATTGCAATCCTATATAAAGGATTCAATTGAAGTTTGGCCAAGGGTTGCCAATATTCAGAAGGAGAAGGTTAAGTACCAGATACTATCCTCAGGTAAGTTATTTATTGTCTAGTATATACTATAAATCTAGGAGAATATTGAATCAACTAGGTGGAAATTGAGCTAACTAGTAGTGTTTATAGCAATTAAGGATCTAAGAAAATATCTAAAGTCCAAGAAGTACTCTCTTAAAGAAAAGCATCTTGAAAGTCACCATCAAGTCCTCCAATTTATGAGATTTCAATGAATGGGTTTATTCAAACCTATATGGAACAAACCATGAAAGGAAATTGCACTCCTGGTTGCTGCTACATCAGAAAGAGGCAGACGAGTGACTGAAAGAATTCAGTGGGATGAACGCAAGTGGATCAAAAGTCAAGTAATTATCCTACAGAAACAGCGGGAGCAAGCGAGTATTATATCAAGGATGGACGAAGAAGAAACACAACTTGCAATCAGAGAGTATATTGCTGGAGCTGGAGATTTAGTCACAGCTGTTGGGTTGGCACATGTCATTACCCAATATTGATCAACCGGCCGATTGCCACCCCCTGATATCGATAGACAAGGTTACCTTCTATCCCCTCCACCTGTCCCTCTTGAGCAAGTAGCCTTACAGAGGGGAATTCAAAACATACTTTCGACTCAGATCGCATCTAAATGGCTGAATAAGCTATGATACAAGTATATAGAGTGCAGGAAGGGAGTATACAAAGATGGACACAAACGTCCAGATGTTATCTCATATCAACAAGACCACTTTCTACCAACTCTCAATTGCCTAAAGCCACTGATGGTTCAGTGGAAATTGGATCAGAATGGTAAACCAGTTATGATTTATCCGCAAGATTTGCCTCCTGGCCAAAGTCCAATTGTTTTGATAACACATGACGAATCGACATTTGATGCAAATAATGGTAAAAGATATGTGTGGATAAAAGAGGGTGAACCACCAATTAGATGAAAGGGTCATGGCAAAGGCATAATGGTTTCCCATTTTGTAAGTCAAGGCGGACATTTGAAGGCACCTGATTGGATACCTATTGGTGACCTCTCCACTTTTGGCATGACGGATGAGCCAAATCTCCGCTATAGTCCATACAAGATAACCATGAAAATTGAATATGGGGGTGACAAGTAGTGGGTCGGTGAAGATCTTGTGCTACAGGTTACAAATGTTGCTATTCCAATATTTGAAACAGCTTTTCCAGGATGCCAGGCCCTCTTCCTTTTCGATAATGCTACCAGCCATTCGGTCTTTGCATCTGATGTTTTATGTGCTAAAAATATGAGCTTGCGGCCTGGTGGAGGACAAAGGAAACTCCGTCCAGGGTTCAATTCCGCTATAGGCGAAATTCAACCAATGGTAGACAGCTCTGGTACAGTAAAAGGCTTGAAGAAAGTATTGGAAGAGTGGGGGCTGTGGAGAAGAGGGCTCCGTCTACAATGCAGAAAGCCGGAAACTGACAAACTACTCAAAACCTGTCTACTTGGTGGAGAATGCTGTGCCTGTGCAATTATTGCAAATCAGCCAGACTTTAAAAGTCAGAAATGCTGTTTGCAGGAAGATATTGAGGTAGCAGGCCACCACGTCCTGTTTTATCCAAAGTTCCATTGTGAAATTAACTTTATTGAGTATGTATGGGGTGCTGCCAAGTGCTATACTCGAAATAACTGCTGATATTCTATCAAGAGTTTACGACCTACCATTCCAAAGGCCTTAGATTCTGTTTCAGATCAACTTATATGGAAATATGGGAAACGAGCAGAGCGAATTATGGATTCTTATCGTCAAGGAATATTATATGAAACTCCTCAATTTGAAGCATCTATTAAGCATAAATACAAAAGCCATCGGCGGGTTTCTGATATACAAGTACTAGAGTAATATAGAATATGGCATCATGTATAATATTATACATCTTTCTTTACTCTACTTTGTACATATCATAAGTATTATTTTCTTACATAATTGTGTTTCCAATATGGAAAACCCTTTATCACCAACCCTATTTTTTCATTTGTTATGCCAAGACTCAAGTCTTGGCATGTAAAATTGCATAGCCATATGTAACATCATTTTTTCAGCCTGGTACACGTTTTGGAGAGCTTGCACTATATTATGATAGATCTTCTTCTGCCGGGTCGGGGAAAAAATTTCTACACTAAGTATCTCACTTCATGTTCCCCAAGCATAAAAATAAATAATAATAATAATCATGAATCCCTCTACCGTACCGTATGATACTAGTAGTAACTGGTACTCTTGCGCTCAAGAAATTCTCACAAAAACAAAACCAAACAAAACAAATGGACCCTGATACTATTTAAATAAAAATTAAAAATTAAAAATTAATAATAATAAAAAAGCCGTTGAATCACGCACTCCCTGCAAAAAGATGGCAATCACAGCGGCACAATAACACAATCGTACAGTAAGTAAGCAGGCAAGTGCGCACAACCGCCCGAACAAACAAACAAACAAAAAAAAAAAAAAAAAAAAAAAAAACACCCCCCACACACCAATCGCAAGTAACAATGAATTCTAAAATATCCCATAGGCAAACTCATCGAACACAATAAAAAAAAAAAAAAGGGTGAAAAAAATATCTGAAAAAAAAAAATGAAAAAAAAAGACTCATGGATGGAAACCATGGTTCAAACTACCGATTACTATTACTTTTTTCCAATAGACAAGGGCAGTGTATATTAGGCATCATCTAACGCCTTTGAACAACACGGTTTTCCCTCCCTTCCCCGTGACACAGCATCCGATCAAACTTTTCTTCCCCCCATCCCCTCCCTTAATGCCAGGGTCCGGGTGGGGGGTGGGGGGAGGAAGGACTACCCACGGTATTTCAATCCTATGATACCCTGATACTGGTCGCACTCCATAAACTCATGTACCCGTACCTGAGTACTGTAAATCATGTACAGTGCCGGTATGATACTACCGGTAGTACAAGTACTAATACATGTATGGCTGGTCAATGCACATAAATCCAAACTCCAAACTCCTCAAACTCATAATCTCAAAAAGTCTCTCTACAATACAAAACAAGAATTCAAAAAAGGGCATCACCATCTTAAAAGTTTCGCCATCCTTGCACGTGGGGGAGGAGAGAAGCCGGAAAATCAACACAACCAAAGCTAGCCGTATAGAGTAATATATCTCGACGACAAATTGCCCTGCCCCAAACGTGGTAATAAATCCAGAAGATCATTGCAATTAGACCCAACCGGGAAGGTAACATGTACAAGTACTCTAGCTACTTAATAAGCGACGGCCAATTTGCGCAAGCGTCAATTGGACAGTCGGCCGCTAAGACATCCGGCCAGGTTAAACGTTTGAAAACTTATGATAACTGAGGCCCACCCGCGCAAGCCCCCCGGCCCCATAGAACGTGGCATTGGTGGCCCGGAACGCCGAGAAATGCGTACGCCTGAGCACGGCCATGACTGGACGGGGGGGAGAGTCAGCGTAGATTCACTCCCGATCACTCAAATGGGTTAGTGTTCCACATTTGCAACTGGGCCGAATGTTTCAGCGGCCACCACAAGGCCACCCACCACCAGCGCCGCAGCTATTGTATCCTACTTGCACTCGAGGACGGTAGTATGCAGTCAACATTATCACAGCCTCGTCCGGGGGGAGTGGAGGAAACATTAGCTGCCGATCAATTGCTAGGATGCCATGCCGATACCGTACTTGTACCACAACTCTTGCGCACATTCCATCTTTTTCCTTTTTCCTCTGTATCCCCGTCTGGGTACGAGTTGTGTGGAGCAAGTGAGGTTAACAGGGTTCCCATACCGGTATTGGAGGTTTTTCCGCCTCCCCTTTTTATCATGCAAAATTCGAGTCGCAGCCCAGGCGCACTGTGCTCATGGCAGCCAAGGTAGACTACGAGATACAGGCAACAGCGACAAGAAGTGTACGGTACTCGAGCGAGATGATGAATAAAAAAAAAATTCCCTTTTTTGCCCACCCCCCTCCACTTTGCAAAATCCGGTACGGTATTGTATATCGTAGTACCGTAGCACCCATTTCCAATACCGGCCGCTGTGGGCAACAAGCGAGCACTCGAGTATCAGAATTACTTATGGAATCGCGCACATACGCCACCCAGTAAATCCCAGTGGCGCGAATGCCCCCCCTCTCACCACCGAACCACACAATTGCAATCGAAATCACCCACCCACGCCGTCATCGTCCTCGCCATCGAACATTTCACAGCAATCGAGCGGCGGAGCCGTCCCCACCAGAACGATGTCAACAATCGGATTGAAAAAATACTCCCATCGGCGGCAGGTCCCATCGGGATCCATGGGAATCGCGGTTCCATATTGCGCCGACCGGTTAAAATTGCGAAAGGCGGTGCGGTACCGTATTGTAGCGTATGTAAATCCATGTATGTATGGTAGGGATGGGGGTGTTCACTTCGCTCGACCGTTTTCGAAATGGCTTATCGTTGCTTGGTTTCTGCGGGATATCGTGCGTGATAGGGAATCAATCAATCCCACCGATTACGGTAGAGGGTCGTTGTTCGGGGTTTAGGCTTGTTCCGAATGTGGAGAGGTTGGGGGGAGTGAGGATCGAGATCGCGATTTGCGATATTGTGCAGTTCTTGCCGTTGTAGCAGTGGACTGGACTATGATATTGTTTGCGATTCTGTTGATCGGTGTTTTTGCTGTGGATGGTGTCATATCGCGACGTACGACCCGAACCACTGCAGGTGAAGGTTGTGCTGGTGATAATGATGAACCCTGGTGGATATCTACTTCACCAGACGTTGGTGGATACACCTGCGTACTGTACCATTGATGAAACCCAACTTACTCGGATCCTCCAGCTTCTGTCTCCGGACGTCGAGGCTGTGTCGCTGCAGGGAAGAAAATTTCGTTGATGAAACCATCGGTAGTAGAGAAAAGTCGAAGGGGTTGAAGGGGAGAAAAGAGATTAGAAAGAAACCCCCCCCCCCGACAGCGCCAAAGGGTTGGGACACCTACATGAATTGCGGCAGAACCTTTGTAACAATGAAGCACCGTACCACGCCGAACGCACCCCAAGGTACCATTTCTCCAGCATTAATCCAATATACAGCGCAGTACTCATTGTATATAGTGTTGAAGCCGAACCACCCCCACCCTCCGGACTGGTTACCAGAGGTAGCGATGCATCCATGAATAAATTAAAGGCGGGAGGAAAAAAAAACCTTTCCTCCTTCCCTATTCCATCCCTCTCGCAGATAATTCGTTTCAGAGGCCAACTGCCCAGCTCAAACCGCACCAGACAGAAACCCCGGTGGATTCAGTCCACCACTATCGTTCTCCACCATCCCCCGAGGTTAGGGTATGTGAGTGGAGCACACGATACGAGTACCCTACCGTAGTAGCAACATATCATATGATGGTTTCTAGGAAAGGAATGCCGTGCCCGTTGGTTGCCGTTCTGGTACCGGATTCTGTAACAATACCGTACTGTATGTAGGGTACGTACCCAGCCTTCTCATCCACGCCAAACCAAACCAAACCAAACATCCAACAGGCGGCAAAAGCAACGAAAAAGAAAGCACAACGGGGGTGCGGACGGGGTACCGGTATGATAGCATCAAGTTCGGGAAGGTCCTCACGAACAAAACAAAAACAAAAGCAAACAAACAAGAGATCAAGCCCACGGGACCCCATCATCATCATCGCCATGATCGGCTCGGATACCTAGGCCCATATCGGCGGTTTTTTTGGGCGTTTTCGTGGATCGGTTGGTAAGTTGGTTGGTAGGATGAATGTTTCGGGGAAGGGAGTAAACTTGCCGTACAGTTAAAATGATAAAGCTGCGAAATCCAATGCCGGTACCATACCAACGAATCAGCGAACGCGACGAGCAGAAATAGCACGGTGCGAAGAAGGCAGAGCGCCGACCGTACCTTACGTACCGACGCCGTGTCATAGCATGCCCCATGGGATCGTACTTGTACCTAGGAAAAGAAGAAAAGAAAGAAAAGTGAAAAGCCGGCTCACGGGGATGAAGTCTCGGAGGCTGGCTTCCGATGCCGTAGGCCTAGGCCGTCCTCGAATATGATACGGGAAGTAGCCGGTTTGAGACAGGCGGCTCGGTTCGGCCTTGTATTCGATTGTGTTCTAGCCCAGTCAATCCATTCTGTGACTCTTGCTTGCGTGCTTGCTTGCTTGCTTGAACAGTACGAGTAAGGTAGAGGTCGCACTTGTATCATATTGTAATTGTAGTTAAGCAAGCTATCATGGCTAGCTATCACCGAGATTGAAGGAGTTCCGTACCAGCACTGAGCATTACCATACGCAGAGAGTTCCAAACCCATCAGGGTACCGCGCAGGCACTAGCACGCATGCTTGTACAGTACTGTAACATGATTGGCGACGCCCCAGATGAGCCTTTCCCAAGCAAAGAAGAAAAGAAAAGAAAGGGAAATTTTCTTTTCAAGAGTGAAAGTCCCCTTTTCACCTACGAGTATTTCCCCTTCCTCCATTCCACATCCGAGCCGTACTGCGGCGTAGCGCACCATGAACGGTCAATCATTCGGTCAATGTCAATCAGCGTTCATCCCATAAAGGAGGCTCAAAAGGCTATCCCACTTTCCTTCTCGCGTCACTTCCCACTTCCGCCAAATTCAATTCGTGCCGGGGGTGAAAGAAAAAAAAAAAAAAGGAAGGCAACGGTGCTACTACTGTACTTTCTTGCTTGTTCCACAAACCCCTCCTCCCCTGTCAGCCGTAAATGAAGAAGAAGGGGAAAGAAAGACAGGGTTCGCCATGCCAGTCATTCATTGATTGATGATTGACTGATTCACCAGATTGCCAAGAAGTACCGCAGGACGTGAATCGATCGCGGGAGGATGGATGATGAATCCATAGTCAAATCTTGTTCCTCATGCTGACAGGCACAGTCCAGGCACAAGACAGGGTACCATAGGGTATCTAGATAGGTGCGGTTGCACTGTAAAACAAAACACCTGTAAGAACTTGCACGACATCTGCAGTAAACACCAAAGCACAATAATCATAAACGTGAACGTGAGCCACAGCAGTGCAAGATGAATCCACCCTCCAATTCATCAACAATAGCTACAATACATTCAACACTTTTTCATGGTCGTGAGCACAAGTATCATGTCAGCAAACAACCTACACAAGGCGGAATGGAAAGAAAAAACCCCCCGATTCGCACCAGCACATGTCTCAGATCCCTTTCTTTAAATTTTTTTTCTCTTTTCTTTTCTTTTTTTTAATTCCTTCTTTCCGTCTCTGGCGGGGGCTGGCGGGGCATACCTCTACCCCCACCCGTACTTTACACTAGCGATGGGATGAACCTTAACCTTCTTCCTTCCTGTGATGCCGATGATAATTACTGTAATAATTATCGTAATTAATTAATCGCTGCAGCCCCCCCCTACCCCCCCAGTCCAACCAACGAGAGAGAGGGATAGTGAAAACTTTTTTAATTTCGAATTTCGAACTTTGAATTCTGACACACGGGTTAGGTGCGTACTTTGTACTAGTCAATGTACTAAGTACTCGAGTACCTGGCGAAGGACACCCCCTCCCGTTCCGCATGACGTTGTGGAGCACCGTGTGCCAGTAGAGTGCATAGAGGGAGGAGGAAAAGGGATGAAGTCCAGAAAAACATCATTATTATCACCATTTACCATTTGTGTGCGTGAAAAGTTCTGCTGTGTAGTGTTACTGTACGGAGCTGTAGGTATTATGTTTTCAATAGCCTATTTGGTGTATGGATTTGAGGTCGTGAAACCTGCGGAAGGTAGGAAGGTTAAAAAAAAACTCCTTATCCCACCCCCCCCCCTTTTTTTTCCTCTAGGGCATAGTATCATAGGATGGATGATGATACCGGTATTTGTATTTATTTATTCACTGAACAACGCTGTGCTGCAGACATACCGTAGACCGGGGGGGGGGGGGAGTAAGAGAGAAGAAGACAAGGACAAGAAACAAAGATAGGGAAACCCGTTAGTTGTCAATGCGTCCATAGCGCTTTTAGCGCCTATGCTGTGTTCTCGAGCAGAGAACTGCACTGTAACAGACGAGTGTAAACACGGTACACTACCGGGAACATCCCCCTCTCCAGGAATTCGCATCATATATGTATATACCCTGCAAGCATCGCGAGTCCGGCACCGTCCCGTAGAGCACAAAACAAAAACAAAACAAAACAGGTACTTCACTGACTGACCGACTGACCGACCGACAATTGAGCAACCAGGGGGTGGATGAATGAATGAATGAGCAAAATCTTACGATAAGCGAGTATGGTGCGATCGCCCAAGCTATCCCCGCCACA